ACCTGGGCTACTGAGGTGCTGATGCTGTCTCCAAGGCCTGACCTGGGCTACCGAGGTGCTGATGCTGTCTCCATACATGCAGACATGATGGTGTTTATCTGTCTCCATGTTCTATTGGTAATCTAGTATGAATATCTCCAGGTAATGAAAAATCCTCATGTAGATTTGTTTTAGCATTTTCCCTTTATCTCTCTCTTCTCCCCCTTTTCTCCCTTTTCATCTACTATGGGGCTTGTCTAGAGTAGACACAGAAAACAACTGAGTCAACCTTCCCTTAGGAGGGTTCTGGATCCAGCCAGGGTTGACTTGTGGTGAGTGCATTGATGTGCACTTGTCAAGGTATTAACCGGGAAGGAGGTCAGGGGACAATAAAGCTAGCTAGCCCCAGATTCAGAGTTCTGCCTTCAGTGTTTAAATCCCTCTGCACATTAAACACCAGAGAGCCTGGTGGTTTTGTTTTTCTCTTTTGTGCAACCAAGTTGGAGAACTGTGAAGATGAAACTACTTAACCTGTAGGACCCAGCCAGCAGCAGGCAGTAGTAACCAACAGTACTTTATCATTAGAAAATCTCCAAGATGAATGGGGACAGAAGGGCTGGGAGCCTTTAAAGCATCTCAGAGGATGAGGTCAGAGCCCTTCTGGGAGGACTCCCTCCTGCTGACACAACAGCATCCCCATCAGCAGCATGGCTCATGGCTTGTCTTCACTGACTTCATTTGGGTCATTCAAGGTGAGGAAAGCACTCTCCCTTCCCCTGAGCAAACATGTGCACCACTGACAAGACAAAGGGAGTGCAAAATAGGCTGAGGGTTTCAGCTCCTTCCTCCTGCACAACAGCAGCCCACCTTTAATGAAAAGATGTGACCATGACTTCCTTTCTAAGACTCTGAATGTCTTAGAGATATTTTGTCAGTGTCTCTATGACAGACAAAACAAAGTCACAGGAGGAGATCATTTAGGAAATGGTCAGGTTTAAAAAGGTTGATGCTACCTGCACTGGAGATGTGTGTGTGTGTGTGTGTGAGAGAGAGAGAGAGAGAGAGAGAGAGAGAGAGAGA